ATCAATGGAATTGTAAAAATGAGCCACCTACAAAATACAAGAACAATTAGCAGCAAGAAATAACAAATTTTGTTTTTAGCACATTTCCTTTATTTTTGTTTGATAGTAATATTTTTCTCAACTGTAAAACTACACAGAAATAGTTTTATATCTCCAGATCAGAATTTATGAATCAATATGCCTAATAAACACAAATACATTGATTTCCTACAATTTATCAAGTCATGTCCTAACAGTGGTTAAACAGACAATAAATTTTAGTCTCTGAAATCAAGTTCACCACATTGGGAAGAAAGGAAAGACTCAGTGAAGAAAGACTAAATTTCCATCCCCTGCATATTCTCAAAAGCACTCAAGAGACTGAAGAAGTCAACACAACTACTCAAGCCCTGTAGAAGTCAACACAACTATCTGTACACTCAAGCCCTGTAGAAGTCAACACAACTATCTGTACACTCAAGCCCTGTAGAAGTCAACACAACTATCTGTACACTCAAGCCCTGTAGAAGTCAACACAACTATCTGTACACTCAAGCCTTTGTGAAATATAACACAACTAACTGTACACCGTTCAGACCAAAACTTGACTTGATATTTTCTCTCAAATTTCACACTGGCAAAAGCCTCTACTTTCAAAACACATCTTCAGTCCAACCACATTTCCCCAAGTCTATCCTCTCATCTCATGCATGTACTGGGCATCCCTGGCCAGATCAGGGAAACAGTCTGCAAACTAACCAGTCTCCCTGCTTCAAATCCAGCTTCTCAAGTTACTGGCGATGTGACAATGGGAAGGGCATCACACATGTGCTTCCCTTTAGAGTGAGAAAATGGAGGATTCATTGAAGCAGTTGTCCCTCCTTGATCCTCTGTGCAGATATTTGTACACCCACAGTGGATGGGAAGAGCCTGAACGCTGCAATTCACTATCATCTACATCTGAAGTACATGCAGCATGTATAACTTGCAGGTTCCTGAGTGACAGCAAAACTAGGACACGCCTACACAGAAGGCTCATCCTCAGCACGCAGCTTACCAACCTCAGCACGCAATTCTCTCCTGGACACCTTTCATGCTTTTTCTTAGAGGAGGCATGTCACAGTATCAAAGTTCCTCAAAAAGCTGGAACAGAAGTAGCACATTCCCCAGATGCAGCACCTCTGTGCATATACTCAAGACTCCACACCTTAGCACAGAAACACTGTCTGCTCAGTGCTATTTTACTCGCAGCAGCTAGAAACAGAATCTGCCTAGCCGTCCATCAACTGATGAATGGATAATGAAAATGTGGTCCGTATACACAGCTATTATAAGATAGATAGATGATAGATAGATAGATAGATAGATAGATAGATAGATAGATAGATAGATAGACAGACAGACAGACAGACAGACAGACAGATAGATAAAATGTGCAGGAAACAGATGGGACTGGAAAATATCACATTAGTGAGATAACTCAGGTCCAGAAAAGCAAACACCACATGTTCTCTCTCATATGCTGATCCTGGCTTCCAAATTTAGATCTGTGTGTTTAACTTAGGAGTATGCAGAGGCCAGGAAGCCAGGAAGAGATTGAGATGAAGGTAGGAGGTTTATTGAGGGAAGGGGAGAGTAGCAAAGGAGAGAATATTGGGGGTTAAAGGTTTAACCAGGGATACAGATGGAGGAATAGGAGAGAAGGAAGCAAGGAATGGAATAACCAAAACTAAGGATGTATGAAAAATTCTTATGGAAACCCCCTACTTTGTAAGCTATGAAAAATGATTTTTAAAAGAATTGGAACAATGGACGGTACAGAAGAAATGGTTAATGGTTAAGTGAAAACCTCAATATGCCTACATACAGGTTATTAATCAGGAAGGCCCCAAGGCTTCCAAGAAAAAGAGGCTATTATCAACACTGTTGTCTGCCAACCCTAACTAGAGCACACCACACATTCTGAATACGTTACATAGAGACAACAATCTGGAAATAGCCAAGAATCCTCCTCCCTGATTCACAGTGGGGCGAGCATTCACAGTGCTGTAGATGATATGCAGGTCGGATGGGGAGAAATGACACTCATGATCTGTGGTGGTTTGAACGAGAATGCCCCCAAAGACTCATATGTTTAAATCTTACCTCAGCTAATGAACTCTTTGAAAAGATTAGGAGGTATGGCTTTTTTAGAGTAGTGTGGCTTTGTTGGAGGAGTGTGTCACTGGAGTTGGCTTTGAAGTTTCAAAAAGCTGCCTGTGGATTAATATGTAAAGCTTTCAGCTATTACTCCAGGGCTACACTTGTCTGCGTCCTGCCATGATGATTGTGGACTAACACTCTGAAACTGTAAGCAAACGCCCAATTAAATCCTTTCTCTTGAAAGAGTTGCCTTAATCACGGTGTCTCATCACAGCTATAGAAGTGTAACTAAGACAAGGTGTTACTGACTACTGGGCCCTTCCTATGACAATACTGACCTGCCAGGCAGACATGCCCATTGGTGCAATGGTGGCACAACTGTTACAGGGATAGCAAACTGCTTTCAGCCTGGACTTAAGGCCTGCTCCATGGAAAGGAGTTTCCGTCTGCTACTGTAAGCTTTGAATGGCCAGGAAGGCTCCAGTGCCTAGAGGAAATCTACAGTTGATGCTGTATTTAATGCTCACATTGCCAACTGATATTTATTTTGATAACCACAGATTGGTGCAGCTCTCAACCTTTGGTCAGAGAAATGTCTATTTTCAGTGGGCAGCAGTTGATGTGGGAAGTCAAAAAGCTGAGAAAAGTGACTACTGAGTGCCCAAAGCTCACTGAAAGATCTTTATCAACCCTTTGCCCAAGGCTAAAGGGACCTGGGGGCTGGTGAGGAGGTGGGGAGGACTGTGAAATGCTGTCACCTGGATGTGGCATGGCCTTGCACATATGGAGTCACAAGAGCATCAAAACAATATCCTAACACTGACCTCACAAGACCTCACCCTAGCTGGCAAGCTACCAGCAGTTGGGCTGCTGTGGAAATAAGAGGCATTCTTGAGGGCTGTGGTCTCTGGTGGATCATCTGTAGTAAGTGGAAGGCCCCACAACCATGCACATGTGGGCAGCACAATAAGAACTCAGGAATGAAGGTAGAAGGGTTTGTGTGGGGATCCAGGTGGAAAGGGAAAGACACTGGGAGTCAGTATGATCAGGAGAGACACATAGTACACATTATGAAACTGACAAGGAATAAATAAGAACTATTTTTTTTTTAAAGAAGTGGGCCTGAGCCTGGCGGTGGTGGCGCACGCCTTTAATCCCAGCACTGGGGAGGCAGAGGCAGGCGGATCTCTGTGAGTTCGAGACCAGCCTGGTCTACAAGAGCTAGTTCCAGGACAGGCTCCAAAACCACAGAGAAACCCTGTCTCGAAAAACAAAAAAAAAAAAAAAAAAAGAAGTGGGCCTGGAAGTGGTGGCACACACCTTTAAGCCTAACTTGAAAGGCAGAGGCAGAGGCAGGCTAACATGAAGTCAGCCTGGTCTACGTAGCTAGTCCTAAGCAAGCCAGGGCTGTACAGTGAGGCCCTGCCTCAAGTAATTAATGAAAAATAATAAAAAGAGGTGAGGTTTAGTAGGCCTTTAGAGCCCTTCTCTCCTTTCTGTTTCCTAGCCATGACAAGGGGCTCTGAACCCCGCCATGCTCCTACCATGTGCTGTCTTGACGCGGGCCCAAATGCAAGAAAAGGACTGATCATGGGTTGAAACTTTCAAACCTGTGAACCAATATACTTTCTCTTCTAAATTGATTCTCTCTAGTATTTGTTATAGTTCAGAACACTTCAAAGAACGTAGGCAGAAAAAGCCAAAGCCATAAATTGTCCTTGACCTTATTCAAGAGGTTGACAACCAGGTAATAAGTGTTTGTTTTAAACAGAAAAACAGCAGCACGGTACAGATAAGTGAACCAAGACCAATTAATCTGGGAATGGAATCCTCCATGAATATCTGAAAGATAGGTAAAAGACTCTCAGAAGCTCCTTTAAGTCCTTTGTAAGTAATGAGAAAAAGAAAAGAAAGAAAAGAGTGGAGAGGTGAGAATGGAGAGAAAGAAGGAATAATATATCATTTTTCTAAACAGTTTTAAATAAAAATTAAAGGCAACACTGTCTTTAAGTTTAAAAACTCCTAGAGAGATTAACAGCAGATTTTAACTTAGTCATTTAGCAAACCCTGAATTTACAAGTTAATAATTTACTACAGGGCATAAAGAATTAAAAACAGAAAGCAGGGGGCTGGAGAGATGGCTCAGTGGATAAGAGCATTGCCTGCTCTTCCAAAGGTCCTGAGTTCAATTCCCAGCAACCACATGGTGGCTTACAACCATCTGTGATGAGGTCTGGTGCCCTCTTCTGGCCTTCAGGAATACACACAGACAGAACATTGTATACATAATAAATAAATAAAATAAATATTAAAAAAAAATTAAAAAAAATAAAAAATAAAAACAGAAAGCAAAGTCCTTAATGGTGTAATTTAGCATAATCAACAAAGAACAAAAACATTATCAAAAGTGTCACTCATACCTGCTTAAGAATGATGGCTTGCTTGCAGAATTTCTGGGCAACGTTGGCAACCTGTTGTATTTTGGCAGGAATGACAAAGCCCAGGGCAGAAAGCTGACGCACTTCTCGCAGCAGAACCACCAAACGATCAGAATAATGCACTTTTAATGACCCATCATTAGGATCCAACTCCATAATACGGCTGTTAGCCTCAATACTACAAAAAGGGGGGGCAAAAAAGATGAATAGGAGTCTTTGAAGCTCGTTGTCCTTATTCTTTCGTCTAATGAAACTAATTTAAAAAAATCACTCAACTTTTCTGCAAATCAATTTTTTTAAATATTTGTTTATGTATTATGTATACAATATTCTGTCTGTATGTATGTCTGCAGGCCAGAAGAGGGCACCAGACCTCATTACAGATGGTTGTGAGCCACCAAGTGGTTGCCGGATATTGAACTCAGGACCTTTGGAAGAGCAGGCAATGATCTTAACCATTGAGCCATCTCTCCAGACCTCTGCAAATCAATTTTAAATTTAAAAAAAAAAAAAACTTTCTAATCAAGGCTTTACAATTCTGTTTTTCCTGCTTGTTCTTCAAAAAAAAAATTGTATGCTGGTTTTGTTATCAATCATCTCTTGTGAATCAAAATTAAAGCTATTTGGTTTGAAAGAACACACAAATCCTGTGAACAGCTCTTAAGATTTATTTAACTTTGTGAATAGCATTTTTGTACATACAAGTAAGGGCTGCTTTGACAGTCTGGAGATTTGGAGGTCCTAGTCAATGCTGCCTGTGAGAAGGTGTAGAGACAGTGTGCTAACTACCTCAAGAACTTAAAGACTGAAGTTAAGAAGTGGTGGTGCACACCTTTAATCCCAGCACTCTGGAGCAGAGACCAGGCTGATCTCTGTGAGTTCAAGGCCAGCCTGGTCCAGGATAGGCTCCAAAGCTACAAAGAAATCCTATCTCAAAAAAAAAAAAAAAAAAAAAAGAGAGAGAGAGACAGAAGTTAACACTACTGTGCAACTGTCTTTAAACACAGCTGGAACAGTGTGAGTGTGTAATGCATTAACACTATTGTGCAACTGTCTTTTCAATACAGCTGGAACGGTGTGAGTGTGTAATGTGTTAAAATTACTGTGCAACTGCCTTTAAACACAGCTGGAACAGTGTGAGTGTGTAATGTATTAACACTATTGTACAACTGTCTTTAAACACAGCTGGAACAGTGTGAGTGTGTAATGTGTTAACACTACTGTGCAATTATTTTTAAATCCAGCTGGAATGGTGTGAAAAATAAAGGTCTTCCCAAGATATTTTATGTTGTTTGTGGCTATTATAAATGGTGGTATTTCTCTGATTTCTTGCTAAGCCTTTTCATCATTTGTATATAGGAGGGCTACTGTCTATTGAGTTGACCTTGTATCCTGCCATATTATTGAAGTTATCAAATGTAGGAGTTCCCTGGTAGAATTTTTGAGGTTACTTATGTATACTATCATATCATCTGTAAATAGTGAAAGTTTGACTTCTCCCTTTCCAATTTGTATCCCCTTGATCTCCTTTTGTTGTTTTATTGTTCTAGCTAGAACTTCGAGTACTATGAATAATATATGGAAAGAGGGACAGCCTTGTCCTGTTCCTGATTTTAGTGGAATCACTCTGAGTTTCTCTCCATTTAATTTGATATTGGCTGTCAGTTTGCTGTATATTGCCTTTATTATGTTTAGTTATGTTTCTTGTATCCCTGATCTCTCCAAGACCTTTATCATGAAGGGGTGCTGGATATTTGCAAAGGTTTCTTCAGCAGCTAATGAAATGATCATGTGTGTTTTTTTTCTTTCAGTTTGTTTATATGGTGGATTAACATCTTACACCTGTCAGAATGGCTAAGATCAAAAACACTAATGACAGCTTATGCTGGAGGATGGGGAGTAAGAGAACAGTCCTCCACTGCTTGAGTACAAACTTGTATAGTCACCTTGGAAATCAGTATGGCAGTTTCTCAAAAAATTGGGAATCAATCCACCTAAGACCCAGCAATACCACTCTTGAACACAGAACCAAAGGATGCGCAGTCACACCACAAGGACTTTGCTCAGCTATATTCATAGCAGCATTATTTGTAACAGCCAGAACCTGGAAACAACCTAGATGCCTCTCAACCAAAGAATGGATAAAGAAAATGTGGTACATTTACACAATGGAGTATTATTCTGCAGTAAAAAAATGACATCTTGAAATTTGTAGACAAATGGATGGAACAAAAAAAAAAAAAAATCCAGAGTGAGGTAACCCAGACCCAGAAAGACAAACACAGTATGTACTCACTCATAAGTGGATATTAGACATAAAACAAAAGATAACCACCTATAATCCAAGACCCCAGAGAAACTAGGTAACAAGGAAGACCCTAAGAAAGGCATACGTGGATCCTCCTAGAAAGGGGAAATAGACAAGAACTCGAGAAAATTGGGAGTGTGGGGTGGAAAGGGGGTGGAAGAAGAGAGGCAGAGAAGACGGGAAGAGGGGAGGAGAACATGATGGAATGGGATGGCAGAGATGAGGGAAGGCCAGAAAGGGAGAGCAAGGAAAGAGATTTTTTGATTGAGGGAGCCATTATGGGTCTAACAAGAAACCTGACACTAGGGAAATTCCCAGGAATCCACAACAAGGACTCCAGCTAAGACCCTAAACAATAGTGGAGAGGGTACCTGACCTGGCCTTCCCCTATTATCAGAATGATGACTACCTTAAATGTCATCATACAAACTTTATCCAGAAACTGATGGAAGCAGATGCAGAGATTCACAGATAAGCCCTAGGTTGAGCCCCCACAGTCTAGCCAAAGAGATGGAGGAGCAATAATATGAGCAAAGGGATCAAGATCACGATAGAGATACCCACAGAAACATCTAACCTGAGCTAGTGGGAGCTCACTAACTCCAGAGACAAGGCCCAAACTAGGCCCTTTGAATGTGGGTAACAGTTGTAGGCTTGGACAGTCTGGGGCTACTGGCAGTGGGACCAGGATTTATCCCTAGTGCTTGAATTAGCTTTTTGGAGCCTATTCTTCTTGGAGGGATACTATGCCCAAATACAGGGGGTAGGGCCTTGGTCCTGCCTCAAAGCAATGAGTCAGACTTTGTTGACTCCCCATGGGAAGCTTTACCCTCTGAGGAGTAGAATGGTGGGAGAGCAGGAGGAGGAGAGAGAGAGGGAACTGGGATTGGTATATAAAATGAGAAAAGATTATTTTTAAAAATAAATTTAAAAAAAAGAATACAATGCAACAACAACCTAATTCAATAAATACTTACCAAAGGCTTACTATTTGGGATGTCACAAGAAAATACTTCTTTCTTTTTTTTTTTAAATATTTATTTATTATGTATACAATATTCTGTCTGCGTGCATGCCTGCAGGCCAGAAGAGGGCACCAGACCCCATTACAGATGGTTGTGAGCCACCATGTGGTTGCTGGGAATTGAACTCAGGACCTTTGGAAGAGCAGGCAATGCTCTTAACCTCTGAGCCATCTCTCCAGCCCCGAAAATACTTCTTTCTTAAAGGGTTTAATATCGTAGCTCAAGAGACCAGCTCTCAAGGATAAAACCAAGGTTTAAGGAGAAAGTCCACAGCATAGTAAACCTGAACTTAAAGTTTTTCTATCTGAGGATACTGAATAAATTCACACCTGTGTTGTTTGAGTTGCGCTCTTTATTATTCTGACCAGTCTTCTGACACAGTTCTAATTCTACCTCTGCAGCTACAAGTTTATAATTCCAATTAATTTCTAATTTCTTCTCAGTTTTAATTCTTTCTCCTTCTTATCTGTTATATGTGTGTGTGTATCTTATGAAAGTTTTTGCAATAATAAAAAAGTTACAAAGCTATCTCTGAAGGTCATTACACATTCCTTCAGTAAACAAGGGCAGAGAAATTTACCATGGCAATGCGAGGTTTCAAGGTTCCTAGTGTAAGATTATGACCAAAGACCGGGGGTACAGTGTCCGGTGAGACAGGCTGCAGAGATATCTGCACAGAGAGTCAGGTCTTGTCAGCTAGAATTTAGCAAGCGAAGAACTAGCCACAGTCTTTTAGGTTGCTTTGTGTTAATAACCTTAGTTAGGCATCTGTGATTTATCCTTGTGAATATCTATAGTTTTTAACTTTTGATATGTTTACAGAAACATTCAGTCTAATTTGAACTTGCTCTGAGGTAAAAATGAACTAATTGTGTATGCTTTGTCTTAGACTGGGGAGAAATTGTTGTTTTGTGTGTTAGTTTGAGTTAAAGAAACAAAGCAGGCTTCTACAGTCCCCATGAAACAATAGACCTAGTTATGAAGCACATCCTAGTATATTTTCTGTATATCAAAATTATACAGCTTAATGAGAAGGCATCTTCCTCACCACCCATGGATATAAGTGATCATAAATTGAGATGTAATCATGAGATTATACATACATATCATATGAAATTACACACTACAATGAAGGTATTGAGGAGACACCACAGCTACTTTTGCACATGTGAAATTACAGACAGGAACAATAGTTTCCAGAGTCAGAGGTCCCACAGGTCTCTCCTGGATGGAATTCTCCTCTATTAGAAAATCATTCCTCTGGTGTGTTGACATCTGAACATTAGCTGGCACCTGCTGTATACTCCCACTGCCTCCAACAGTTTAAAAATATACAATTTACAATTAAAACTGTTTATGCATATAATTGTAATGTAAAAATGTAGAAAATCGGGGCTGGAGAGATAGCTCAGTGGTTAAGAGCACTTGGCAGCTCTCTAAACATTTGGAGTTCAATTCTCAGCACCCACACGGTGGCTCACAAGCATTTATAATGAAATCTGATACACTCTTCTAACATGCAGTTACGTATGCAGAGCACTCACTCATACATAAAATATAAATGAAAAAGTAGAAAATGAATACTCAGTAATAAAGTATCATAATGGAAAGAATGCCTAACTCTCAAAGATTAGTCTGCAGTTTCAGTAAACAGAGGTCACCTACTGCTGACCAACAACGAAATGTACTCAGGGCCATGGAGGCGCTCCTGCTCTCCTAGAGGACCACGTTCAGTTCCCAACACCCAAACCAGGGCCCACACACTTCTCTAACTCTAGTCGTCTGGTGCCCTTTCTTGCCTCTTAGAGCAATGGAGCACATACGTAACATTCACACATACACACTTAAAAAAAGTAAGAATGCTTTAAATGCAAGTAGGGCAGTGGTGGCACATACTTTTAATCCCAGCATTCGGAAGGCAGGAGGATCTCTGTGAATTCAAGGCCAGCCTGAGTTAGTTCCAGGACAGGAGCCAAAGCTACAGAAAAATCCTGTCTCAAAAAAACAAAAATAAAAAGTAAAAAAAAACAAAACAAACAAAAAAAACCAACATTTTAAAGGCAATAACTCATAGAGCAGCAGCAGCAACTCTGTAGAAAGAAGAGCTCCTTCCCCCTTGCTACCTGGATTACTAACACATGGGCTTGTGTTGACAGCTCAGAGAAATAGCACTTACCACAAACCTGATCTGGAATCAGACAACCCTGACTGAACTTCCCTGGACCAGTCATCAAACTGTTCTTGCTCGTACAGCTTAAACTGGTCCAAGAGATCTTCAGCACTCCGGTGGAAAGAACGAAAGCCTGACAGGTCAGACAAGAGCGCTTCTGCAATCTTGATAGTGTCATCTACCTTAAAAAACAAATGACAAAGACGTATTAATGACAACAAAGTTTTACAAGAAAATAAGGAGGCCCTTTCTCTGACCTGAGACTCAAAAATTATTTTCCTATTGTTGGATCCCACAGAAGTGGATTGGTTCCACTTTGACTAAAGGTCAGAGAGTTCAGGCGTAGTCTTGCTCCTTCAAGGTTATTGACTGAAGATTTGCCTTAAGGTGTGGTACCAACCTAGGGTGTGGTAACTTAAGAGTTTTGTGTATTAAGATGATAATCACTTTGTTTGTTCCTTGTATCACGATAAAAAAAAAAAAAAAAAAAAGTCTTTCCTTTCTTCCCCTCTTTTGGATTGGGTATTTAAAGACCCTAAGAAATAAACACGGGTGGATTCAGTAGTCACTGGGTTCCCCTCCAGACTATCCTACATCTATACATTCCTTTTGTATCTCTGTTTGTTCTGCCTAACATTTCTAACCCATACACCCACCCCTACCCTGGAGCATAGGAACGAATCGAGGCTGGGCCCCAACAGAAGTCACCTCAATGTGGGGCCCTGACAAATCTTATAAAGACAGAAAAAGCCTTTTTTCATAAGGAATAAAAATATCATCCTCTGACTTCTGAATTATACAACCTCAGAATAAATAAACCCAAAAGGCAGCCAAAACACAGCATACTCCAGAGTAAAGTGAAGGAAGGGCAAGCCACACAAAAGCTGTGCTCTGCTCATTTTCAGGAACTCCAAGAAGCATCTCATTACTCCCAAAACAAGCTCACAATAATACCAGTTAGCTAAGAACTTTGTTAAGAGTTCTTGGACTTCCCACAGGGCAGAGAACCCTGATTGCTTTTTGGGCTGACAAGGGAGGGGGACTTGATTGGGGGAGGGGAAGGGAAAGGGGAGGCGGCGGTGGGGAAGAGACAGAAATCTTTAATAAATAAATTTTAAAAAAAAATTAAGTTGGAAAAAAAAAGAGCTCAAAAAATAATAGGGCAGGTTTGAATGTCAGCTAAGAAAAGGATCTTCCTCCATAGCTGCCCATTTTGGTACATTCATAAAGGACTGATGGAGAAAAATGCAGCATGATTCAGAATACAGTTTAAAGGCATGAGTCTGACAAAGAAGTTGGTTTTACTTATATTCCTTGACCTTTTGCCCTTGAATACAGACCACATTTAATTAATTATCAGATAATTAATGTTTAATGACACAAATCAAAACTATAAACAGAACTATATATAGTAATAGTAGGTCCAAAAGCATCTTAGGTCAATTTTAGTAACATCATAAACAATTATATACAATGACCTTCCATTTCTCCTTTAACTCAAGCAGCTCTGACCCTTAAGAGATAAGCCCCACCTACACTCTTCCTTCCACTTCCAGCCTGAGCTCCTTCCTTTTCATCTCTCTCCCAAAGAGTTAACTTCTTCTCTCTCTCTCTCTCTCTCCTCTCCTCTCCTCTCCTCTCCTCTCCTCTCCCTCTCCTCTCCCTCTCTCCTCTACCCCTTCCCTTCCATAACCCACTAAATAAATATCCAACCTCACTCTACATGGTGTGCCTATCCATCTCTGTCTCTTACCTGCCACGGCTCCTTGTGAGACTGGCTGACCCACTGAGGTCTCTCACCCACCACGTGGCTCCCTGCCTGGGATCTACTGCCCCCTGTGGCCACTGCCTGCTGCCACCAATCGGCAAACCACAGGGTTTTACCTAAACCATTACATTTGGTGCTCATGACTTAGCCAGGCTCTCTCCATGTTCCCTCTGGCCCATAGGTGGGCCAGCTGAGAACATATGGAACCCTGGGCTAGGGATTTTCTTTACAACAGCCCTGCGTTCTATTGGCCTGAATACTGACCTCTACACACACCAGCAGCTTTGGTGGTGAGTCTTCCCCTTCCAGTCAGCCAACCACAGCGTTCAGGGCTAAGGATGAGCCCTTCACTGACATTCATCTCTGGTTGCTTCCCATAGCTAAAGACGGGACCAGACTGACCAGGGCCCTCCTACACTAGCACTGCACACTCTGTGCAGCACATTCAGTTTGGGGCCCGGAGTCCCTTGAGTTCTTCTTTCTCCTTTTTCTTTTCTTTTGGACCACTCATAAGTGGTCCCCACCATGATAGACTGCTCAGAGCAGCCTTTAGCCTCTCTGGCTTCTGAGTCACCCAGACCAGAGCTAGTCAGACTTCATCAATACCCCGCCTGTAGAGAAAAGACATTTTCCTATAGGCTTTGTGGTGTCGCTGTTCTCTAGCCTCTGGCTTCCCAGTCACCTGGACTAGGGTCAGTTGACTTCATCAACATCCCGCCTGTAGAGAGAAGATGTTCTCCTATAGGCCTGTGGTGTCGCTGTTTTCACGAGTTTTCACATCTTCAGCTATGTAATATAAACCCTCAAATTATCAGCAACCCGCCTGTGAATGCTTTCACACCAGGACCCCACAGTGTGGAAATGGGTATCTGTTGAGCCAAAATTATCTCAGGTCTGTACCGCAAAGCCTATAGGACAGAGAAAACCTTGGCTCGAGTTTGAAGGATAGTCTCAAAGCTACGAGACAGCAAAATCTAGGCAGACGTCCCTCCAGCCAGAGGGAGGGCTCGGCTGTCTCTCACTGGCTGGAGATACCCCCATATCACAGGATGTTACTTAATCTATATAAGCTGATGCTCACAGTAATAAACTGAGTTCCTGCTTTAACTTGACTCCCTATCAAGTCTGATTGTCCTGTGTCATGGGGCTGCAGATCTGATTGTCCTGCATCGTAGGGCTGCAGAATCTTTCCCTGGGGAATAAGGCCTGGCAGTCCCCCTTCTCCCTCCCTTTCCCCTTCTCTTCCATAGCCCACTAAATAAATATCCAACCTCACTCTGCATGGAGTGCTTATCCATCACTGTCTCTAAATGCCACGGCTCTTTGTGGGACCAGCTGACCCACCACGTGGCTCCCTGCCTGGGACCCACTGGCCTTCGTGGCCTGCCACTGCACCCCTTGGGGAACCACAGTATTTTATCTAAACCGTAACAATAGCAACATAAAAATACTTGCAGATAGACTTTAAAACCATCAGGATTTCCCAAGTATGTCCTTTTAATCTAGTGTCAAGGATAAGTAGTCCTCACAGATGCTTTCAAAGACACTGAGTGACACAACTTGACACCACATCAGAATCTTCTGCACACTTTGTTCTCAGACTTCTATATATTTCAATGAAAATTAGATATTGTTATGGCATGAAGGTAAACTGCACCCTACTGAATTAGGCATTTGAGCACGCGGTCCCCAGCCAATGGGGAAAATGAAGTGTCCCTTGGACATGGAGCCTTCCTGACATGTGTAAAGGTTATAGCTTAGCAAGGTTCTGTACCAGCTCTCTGCTTCCTGACCTGCCAAGATGCCATGGTCCACCATGGCTCCAGCCACCACACATGGAGCCGCAGCAACCAGACCTCCCCATCGTAAAACTCAGTCTAAACTAAAGGAACTCCCTCTTCTCTTTAACTACTCCCTGGTATTTTGTCACGACAATGAGAAAAGTAACTGCATGCAGAGAGAACAGTGCTTTCACAACAGCCTTAGAGTCCCTATCATATGCCTTACTTTAGGATATTTTGAGTGTTCACTGTTCAACTAACTATATTAAAACAAGTACCTTCAATTCCAACTGACGAACCCAAACAATATTATTGACAACTTCTGAAAGATTTTTTCCAGAAAGTGGCCCAGATGCATCTCCAGGAATCCCTCGGCACCGATTCTCAAAGTCCAGTCGGAAATCTGTGTCATTCAAAACAAATAAATTACACAGAAGTAGTACATTTCGAATCTTACTGAAAATGCTGAGGATGTTGGTCCTCACTGCACCATATTATATACCTTAGCATGTATATAGATAATGATTAGTGCTGTCTACTTGACACAATACAGATCACCTGAAATGCAGGCCCTAGGGAGATCATTGCATGTAAACTGATGTGGGAAGGAACACCTTCTGGTGGGAGGGGACGCTGAACTGCGTAGGATAGAGCACAGAGCAATTCACACATCACTGTTCTCTTCTGATTATGGGTGTAATAGGACCGGCTACTTCAAGCACCTGACTCCCTAACTTCCCTGTTGTGATAAACAATGGCTTGAACTGTCAATTAAAATAAATCCTCCATTCCTTGATTGCTTCAGTGAGTGCATTTTATCACAGCAAAAGAAAAGAAACTAGGACAATATATTAAATAAGATATAGAAAAAAGGGGGCTGGAGAGATGGCTCAGTGGTTAAGAGCATTGCCTGCTCTTCCAAAGGTACGGAGTTCAATTCCCAGCAACCACATGGTGGCTCACAACCATCTATAAAGAGGTCCGGCGCCCTCTTCTGGCCTTCAGACATACAGACAGAATATTGTATACTAAATAAATAAATAAATATTTTTAAAAAAAAGATATAGAAAAAAATCTGTTCATTAAAAAATATATAGGGGCTAGAGGGATGGCTTCGCAGTTTAAAAAGTTTTCGCTTTCCGGCACCCACAGTTCACAACTGTTATAATTCTAGGGGATCTGACACCCTTTTCTGACCTCTGTAGTAACCAAGAAAATACATAGTGCACCAACATACATGCAGGTAAGACATACACAAAAAATAATTAAAATAATTTTTAAAAATAAAGTAAAAACAAATTTATCACTTATATCATAAATAAATCAATTACTGTCTAATGTCTAAATGTAGTTTTTAACCCTAAATAAGAAGCATGAGACTAAAATATAGCTATAAAGACATTTCTCGGGAACGTTACCTTTAGCTGAGTCCCCAAGTCTTGCCAATAATGTCTCTCTTTCTAGCACCAGCTCTTGGCTTATAGTCGGACGCTTCACCAATTCCTTGTATTTTAGAAATGCTTGAAGAAGCTAACATAAACAAAGCAAGTCCATGTTATCTCAGCTCAGCCAAACTCACGTGAAAATAGCTTACAGAAAAATTGTAAAGTCAAATCTTTCAATATTTTACCTGCTGTGGACTATCTTGAATTTCTGAAATATAATTCTTTAATTTCCCTGCTATTTTCTGCTCAGCGGGTGCAATGATTTTTTCATACTGAGACACTGCAGCCTTCCATAATGGCTAAACAAATTAATTATACTGTTAGACTGTAAAATGTTAAGATATAAACCTTTAAAACTCAAGATGACAAAAGAAAATTAAAGACAAACACATAGACTCGACCTCAGTATACGGATTGTACTGCACAGGGTTCACACCAGTAAAAGGCTCAAATACTCGAGACAAGCATATAATTCTCTCCTCACTGGCCGGTAAGAAATACAAGAGCTTTTCATGAATTGTTCGAATAGCCAAGACCTAAAAATGTAAGATATTAAGACATAAAATGTATTAAATGAAAACAACTGTAATTAGGTCAAAAATCTAAAGGGTTTATAAAACTTCCTTACAGGGCTTCTGTATCATGAATGAAACCAGAAGTATTTCACTCTTTTATGTGGGTTTGCATTTTTTAAATTGTGTTTCTCCTAAGGGGGGGACTATCTCTGCAGTTTCATTTTGCCTTTCCTTTGAAGCTAAATCTTAATTTTTTACAAAAGCTCACAGCTGAAGTAAATGAGAAACTGTTTCGAATATTTCCACTGAGTACATCCTACAAAGAGGGCCAAAGCAATATCAGTAGCCAAGAGAAAGACTGAGGGATCAGGCTGATCGATCGCTCACACTAACATGTTGACCACTCGCTCACACTAACATGTTAACCGTTCACTCACACTAACCTGTTGACCACTCGCTCACACTAACCTGTTGACCACTCGCTCACACTAACATGTTGACCACTCGCTCACACTAACATGTTGACCACTCGCTCACACTAACATGTTGACCACTCGCTCACACTAACATGTTAACCTGTAATAAGCATAGAAACAGATTCCTCTGAATGAATAAGTAAAGAGGGAAATCTGGAGAGTAGATAGAGCAGGAAATTTATAGAATGAGTGTAACTTGATATAGTGTAAAAGCATTTTGTCTTGTGTGTAGTGTGGAAAATTACTAAGGTGAAATATTAAAAGAACATTTCCCCCCTTGAAGGCTGTCACACCCATCTGGCTCACACTAACATATTGATGGCTTGTTCACACTACCATGTTGACCACTGACACTAACAGTGACCACTCACTCACACTGAAGGAAAAGAAGAAGGTAGGACTTAGTACTACTCACTATGTACCTCAACCTGCAGCAAAGCAGACCATACTTATTATGACATCCATTCCTATGCTCACCCAAGCTACACGTGTTCATCAATCATAAAATGAATTCACAGACCAGTGAAAACCACTTCCACTTAAAGACAACAGGCAGCCAATCAAGCGGGTACCTCTTCCAGGCGCTTGCCCAGCCTGTCAAGGGTTTCTGGAAAATACTTCTCATTCTTCCACGGATGAGGGACATAGCGCTGCCACACCTGACCTGTGAGGTGACTGCAGACTATCACCCACTGCTCACAAATTGAAATGCCAGCTTTCAGGTTTTCTTTCACAAGATAATAAGGATCTTCCCACAGTTTCAAACTTCCCAGCTTTTTCTGAACAAACCTTCCAAATGAACCACCTAATAAAACATAAAGCAAGATTGTATGCAATACAATATTTTATATGGAATTATAAAATATATACTTAGGAAAAAATTAACATATTCATTAGACTAAGAATCTACAAAACACTGCCTATCCATTCTTAGACTACCACTATTTATAAAGTAACTGCCTTTATAAATACATGCGTACACACAAACATCAGCTTGCATTCTTGATCATTCAACATATTGTGCCAAAAACAAACAGCCCCTATGGTATGGGAGAAGCAAACATAAGGAAATTCCAAATTGCTATCTGACTTCACTCATGACAGAAAGTGCTTCATGAGCTTATCTCACGTTCTAAGGGGAACACTGAAAAGCATATTTTTTTCTGAGTCAAATTTGTAATATTGGAATATAAACCAGTTTGTTTTAATCATTTTTAGTTCATATGAAATTACAGACAAATGAACGTATGTGGCAGACTGGAGAAATATCTAGGCAGTTAAGATTGCTTACTGCTTGTAGTCATGTGAATGTAACTGACTCCATAAGTTCATGGGGAGAAACATGACTGAGAGGTGTGGCGTTACTGAGGCACATGTGGCCAGTAGGAGGAGGTGTGTCTTGAGGCCTCATATACGCTCAAGTGTCTCGGTTCACTTTCAGTTGTTTGTGGATGTCTGTTTGCACGCCACCATATCCCACCGTGATGATAATGGAGTAAACTCCAGAAACTTTAAGTCAGCCAATTAAATGATTTCCTCTATAAGAATTGCTGTGGTCATGGTGTCTCTTCAAAGCAATAGAAACCCTAAGACACTACTCTTCCAGAAGATCTATGTTCAGATCCCAGCACCCACTCCAGTGACTCACAAATGCTATAACTCCAAGTCCAAGGAATCAGAAACCCTCTTCTGGTCTCTGTGGATACTATATAAATAAATCTTTAAATAGATTTAATTTATTTTTAATTAATTAACATATGCATAAATACTAAAAATATAAATTTAGTTATATTAATGATCAAAGTGTTTCACATATATGAACTCAATCAGCTAAAAACAAAAACACATGTAGATAAATTTATATCATTTATTAAGACTTACTTTAAATAGCAGTATGATATCAATGAGCATTTTAACTAAGAACTTCAGAAAAAGAAAGAAAAAAAGGAAGCAAGGAAGGAAAGGGGAGAAGGAGGGAGGGGAGGAGGGAGAGAGACCCTTACTTCTATACCTATAATATCGAGGAGATGCAGCATGCGTGACTCGGGGTAATGATCATGCTCTGTTTGTCTCCACACATCGTCTACAACATCCCGAGTCGTCTCCACCAAGTCAACAACTTCTAGCAAGGACAGACTGTCCAAGTTATAAAATTCCTGAAACCAAAACACATTCACATTGAAACACAGTTACATCTGTTCATCGAGTACCACAGAATGACCCAGACTTGCTCAGCTGCTGTAAATCTAACTTCCTCTTCTTTTTTCTGACTTTTTTAATGCAAATATTCTCCATAAACAAAAATTTCACTTGAAGCTGAAAAAAAAATGACAGCAAAAAGACTATGATTTCTTTACCCCCTTAGCCAAGTCTTCTTTAAATCGAGTCTATTCTTTTACCAGCAGAAGTAGCTGCAGCGCCACAGACATGCTACCCACTGTAATTCACGTGTCTTTATTCATGTGTCCTGCTGTGTAATGTGGTGACTAGCAATAAGAGCAACACAAAGTCATTATTCTATATTTCATCACTGTCATCAAAACAAGCTTTAAATATACATTAAATATACCATTATAATGGCACTGCTGAGATTGGCAAGAGGGGTCAGTGGGAAAGGAAGCTGCCATACAAGTCTAGTGACCTGAGTTTGATCCCTGGGACCCATGGAAAGGTAGAAGGAAAGAACTGACTCCACTGACCTCTACATGTGTGCCGAGGCACATTTGCCTACATACATACACACATCATGCACACACATACCACAAAAGTAAACTCTGAAATAACATTTAAAGAAATAAAAACAATATTGTTGATGAAATAACAGTGGGAACAAATAAAAAAAAATCACTGTTGCTGAAATCATACTTAAAATAATCACTTACTAAAACCCTAAGAACATGCAGCAAGGGAAAATCAAATAGGCATAAAGTAAAACTTCGTAGTTTAAATTACTTTGAAATACTAGTCTATATCATCCCATCTGAAGAGTGTATTGCCGCTACATAAATAAATCTGTTAGTTTACTGGTTTTATGTGTTTGTGTGATAAGTGCACATATGGTGTGCATGTGTGTGTGTTGTGTGTATGTTTAAGTGAGCACTCGTCAGTGGGTGCACATGTGGAGACCAGATTTCATCTTGGTGTGTAATTCCTCTACCCCTCTCAAAGAACCTAGAGCTCTCCGTGTAGACTGGGCTGGCCTGTTAGCAACTACCTACAGGTCCCTAGCCCCTAGCACAGGGGTCTGGATACCAGTGGGGATCTGAACTCAGGGCCTCCGGCTTGCACAACAAGCACTTCACCCACTGAGACCTCTGCCAGCTCCTGGAATTTCATTTTCTCCCAGTACTTTTAGAAAACTTATTTGTTTTTGAGGAAAATTATTTCCGAGAGATTAGAATTTAATGTTTTCATTTCTATGTTTTACATATTCAAACATATAATTTAGGTCAATTCTAGGGTTTATACACTATCTTACAACTGTCAAGTAGAGTTTAAAAGAGAATACACTGAAAATTGTATCCTAAAGTTTATTCACAAGAAGCCTACTTTTAACCATGTGCTAATCACATACCCTTGCAATTGTTTCAAATAATTCCTTAAAATAGCTGGCTCTTTCTTTATTAATCTGTTTATTTCCACGGTGAGCTTGCTCTGTCCAAAACTGGAACTCATCACTTGGTGTGAGGATACCTAAAAAATGAAGAGAGAAGCACTGAGCTATTAATGAAAAGAAGAAAGGCATAACACAGTTTGGCTCATCTGTTGGTTTAGATTTGGTCCAGAAGATGAACAGAAGATGACCTCTCAACCTCTAACAACAATAAATACTTACTTAATAAATGAGTGTTTTCAACTCAATTTGAAAGTATAAGCAAAATAGATTTGTAAATTCTCTTTCAAAGAGCCCAGTGAACTAAATAATCACAGTGTGTTTAATCATATGCTGAAAGTGAGTATACTATTCTTTGGAGGTATGTAATAAAAAGCATCTATTTGACTATCTGAACAAAATACAATCCATTCATTGTATGTTACATATTTCATTTTGATCACACTATGAATTTATCTATACCCATAGAAAAATTATAACTAGTATCAGATAAAATACATTATACCATAAAAGTTGGTGGTCTGTTGCCTTCACAAGGTATAGAGTGGCCATTCCTCATTACTCCTATATTAAGACAGTAAAATATTTGAGCCGACAGATACACTTGGGGAAGTCAGCGCTACAATTTACCCGCGAGCTTCCTTTCTCATATTGCAATCAATGGCCTTTCTGTGGTCTGCTTGGTGCCAGCGTTTTCCATTTTTAAGCTTTAAATTGGTCTTAAAGCACAGGTGCCAAAAATGCAACCACAAGACAGCTCTGATGCTCTTTACAGAGAAAGTGGCCAGGTAAGTCGTACACAAGACAGCTCTGATGCTCTTCGCAGAGAACGTATGGTCAGGTAAGTCATATTCAAGGCACATGTTACAGAATATAGCCACTGTACATAACCACCGTATATTTTCAATTTCTATAAACTAGCCAGTCTTAAGAAAAAGATTCTTCTCCAAACCCATACAATCTATTCATTTTTTAAAAGTTTATATTCATAGAAGAGCCAAAAACACAGAAAGAAATCTGGAAACATAGTTATTTGCTAATTGTATTAATTAAATGATCACTTTTAGGGGGGTTGTTTTGGCTTGGGGTTTTTTGTTTGTTTGGTTGGTTGGTTGGTTTTTTGCGTTTTTCGAGACAGGGTCTCTCTGTATAGATTTTGTAGTTCTGTAGAGCAGGCTGGCCTCAAACTCACAGAGACCTGCCTGCCTTGCCTCCCAAGTGCTGGGACTAAAGGCGTGCGCCACACCACCTGGCCCGAGTTTGTAACAGATGGTGCCCTAGTCAATGTTCCTCTTGCTGCAATCAAACACCATGGCCAAAGCAACTTGGAAACCACAGGGCCTCTGTGCCTTCGTCCATGTCACTCCTCATCATCCGAGGAAGTTAGGACAGGAACTGAAACAAGATAGGGACCCAGAGGCAGGAGCCAATGCAAATGTCATGGAGGGGTACTGTTTTCTGGCTTGCTCCCCAAGGCTTGTTCAATCTGCTTTCTTCTAAAACCCTTTACTAGTACTCCAGGGTGGTACCACCTGCAGTCGGCTGTGCCCTCCCGTCAGTCACTAATTAAAATGCCCTACAAGCTAGCCTACAGCCTGATCTCATGGAGGCATTTTTACAATTGAAGTCCCTTCTTCTCAAACAACTATAGCTTGTGTCAAATTGGCATAAAACTAGCCAGCACTAATGGTTATTTTGAGGACCAGAAAGACAGCACAATGGTGGTGGCGCACGCCTTTAATCCCAGCACTCGGGAGGCAGAGGCAGGCGGATCTCTGTGAGTTCGAGTCCAGTCTGGTCTACAAGAGCTAGTTCCAGGACAGGCTCCAAAACCACAGAGAAACCCTGTCTCGAAAAACAAAAAAAAAAAAAAAAACAGTGCTTGTCCCAGGATTGCAAAAGGTAGAACGCAAGATCTGACTCCCACAAGCTGTCCTCTGACCTCGACAAGTCTGCCGTGGCACTCACACACATTCAAGCACACAAGTATCTGCTCTCACACCCTCCAAGTAAAATATAAAAATAATAATATAATAAAACACTGAGTTGTGGAAGTCAAGCATATACCTCTTGTATCATCTTCCTTAAGTTTCAGTTTGGGTAAATTAGTATCTGATCTCCGTAGAACTACACCCAGTCCAGCTTCTAGTTCACTCAAAAGATTCTGAAGTTTAGGATCAAAGTTTCTGCTCCATTCCTGGTCCTAAATAAAAGCAGACAAGAGCAAATACTGATCAAAGCATTGCCAGTCAACCCTGCTTCAAAAACACACTGTCTAAAAACTAAGCCCACAAATCCATACTTCACTGAACGCCTGCCTCAACTTCCATTTGAACAGCTAAAATTTTCTACAAATCGTGTGTCATGGCTATGTAAGAGGTGATGGGAGCTGCATTCATAGCTTTATGCTGCTTTCCTCTACAGAGCTGAAATAGTTCAATAAACTAAAACACATTTAAACAGTAAATCAAATAATATGTAAATCTGTTTCCATGCTGACCAAAATACTCACCTTTAGCAACATGGGTGCAAACACCTGCCTTACTGCTTGGTAAAGGGAACTGACAGGTGACTCCAACATAGATGAAACGAGAATGTTGTTATGCAGATTCTCATCTGTAATTACTTCGGGTCGGAGCTTGAAAAACACCAGCACTTTATCCTTTGTGTCGTCGAAATCAATCTACGTGATAAACAAATGATCTTATGTCTTTTTCCTAAAACTTAGTGTTTGAAAGAAATGCTTCATTACCAAGCTGCATCACTAGAATTATGCCTGGTAGAAATACTAGTTAAAGACAACTTATTCAAAACAACAATTGCTGTGTTCGTACTACACTAACCAAGCTGTAACAGAGGAAGGGAAGAATAAAGATGTCGTAAAGTGAACAGAATTATTCAGTCAAATTGCTTAAGTCACAGAGTTGAGGGCCCCCCAGGAAGATCCAGACTGTCTCAAAAGAAAGAGTCAAGGTGCTTATGCTTCCTATTCAGATGCAAGTACAGGGAAGCTCCTATTACCCTGCGGGCACTCCACCGCCAAGGCAGAGGCGGCTTGGAAGCCAGGGCTCCAGGGCAAGACTGAGGCTGTCTTTAGGCCAGGCCTAAGGACCTGGGTCCTGCCGGGCAGCCGCCCTACCGTGTTGGAAAAGGCCAGCCCAGCTTCGGAGCGCTGCACGCGGAGCAGCATCTGGTTGCCGTCGTCCAAGAAGTTGTTCACCTCCGGGCAGCTGCTCGGCGGAGGCTGGTCCCAGAGCTCCGGCCTCAGCCCGAAGTAATTCTGGGTGGTCGTGAAAAGGAAGAGTTTGCGGGCGTCCGCCGGGCCTCCCGCCATGGCCGCGGAGGAGAGGGACCCGCAGGGCCCAGCGGCCTCACCTCTACTCTTCTTCGGTGCCACGGTCGTCGCTATGGCGACCGCTCCACGCCGGCGGCGCGCGCAGCGGAAGTAGGACGCCTGGGGCGCGCGCGAGCAAGGCTGAGGATCCCGGCTCTCATCGATTGGATGAATTGAGAGCGTCTTTCCTTTATCCATCATCTTTCCTTCTGATGCGGCGCCCTATAGTGTTTCCGCTGTCCGTGCAAACCACTCTGGAGTGTCAGGGCCTACATCTGCGAAATGGGGAGGTAGCAGTTCACAACTAAATTGCAGTATAAAAGAGATTACTATTTAAAAATCACCTTGTTTCCAGGCCTGATGGTTCATGACTGTAAACAGAGCATCTAGGATACCAAAAGAACAGCCTTGGCTACATTAGGACACCCTCTCTCTCAAAAAAAAAAAAAAAAAAAAAAAAAAAAAACAGCGGGCTGCGAATCAGCAATTAAGAGAGCTTTGTTGCTTTTTGCTGAGGATCGGGATTTAGTTTCCAACACTCACACCGTGTCAAACGAGGGTTTCTAACCCCCCAGTTCGAGGAGCGGGGTGGAGGAAATGGGGGGACCCATCAGTCTCTTCTGAATTCTTCACATACATACAAGCAGGCAAGACACTCATACACATAAAATACATCTACAATCAGTCAATCACAACAAACACCTTTCTAGCATCTCGTTAGAAAGGCTTGTATTCTATAACTCTCAAAGTCTGTCTGCTCCTAGCTGAGTGAGCTAGTTTCCCATTGTTAGTTTTGTCTTTGTTTTGGGGTTGTTGATATTGTTGTTTTACCTTTGTCATTATAGGAAAACCTTAACAATCATTATGTTACCAACTGCCAGGTGTTTCTAGGTTCTTAATCTTTTCTCCAAAGAAGGTAAAATAAGAATTCTTAAAGATCTACAAAACAAGTAAAATAAGAGATTGATAATACTGTCAAAACCGACACTTGGACCACAAGACTGAGGACACTAATAGGTTATTATTTAGGGTTTTTTATGAAGTTCAATAGAAGGAGTTTGTCTATTAAGGTATATAGTTTGGCTTTAATATATTTGATTATACAGTTATTTTTTAAGGCCTGTTCCTTCCCACACTGCATCTGATTTTAATCATATGCATGCCCATAGGCATAGGAATGTAAATAGGGGATTCTTCCTAAACATTAACTGGAGACATAGTTTTGAATTACTGCACATGTACACAAAACCAGTTCAGGCTAGATAGCCCCTCTACACTTTGTACAGGATATATTGGGAGTTTATTTGAATTGAAACTACCTAAGTTTGACTTTTAGAAGAGGAGAAACTTACATTTATACAGAAAGGAGTGTATGTACAGCCGGATACAGGTGCAAGGCTGAGGTTGCTAGATGCATTGTTTTGATCAGGTTGTGTGCATGCAGGTAAAGAAGCTGGGCTGCCAAATTCATTGTTGGGGGGGGGATGAAAGTTTATAATGCAAACCAAGTAGAGTTCAGAGATGCTAAGCTAATCCCTGTGCTTGTCTGCCTCAATTACCCTAGTACAGCAATATTTTTAAATGATTTATTTGTATTTAATGTGTATTGGTGTTTTGCCTGCATGTATGACTGTGTGAGGTTGTCAGATCCCCTGGAACTGCAGGTACAGCAGTTTCGAGCTGTCATGTGGGAGGTAGGAATTGAACCCGGGTCATCTTGAAGAGCAGGCTATGCTCTTAACTACTGATCCATCTCTCCAGCCCCTGCAGTATTTCTAAATAGCCAAAAATGCGAAATATGATGGATTTGTTTAATAACAAGTATAGATACTGACAGAGAAAAACAGATGAGGACAGACTTCCTCATTTGCCTCATTATAAACTACCAAGCCCGTTGTTACTCCCAAGACCCATCAAAGACTCAATTCAGTAAGTGCTTTGCAAAATGGTTACTATGTGCTAAGCCAGGCAGGAGGAACATAATTCCTGCCCTTATAGCTTTAGTTTAGTCTTTCATCTGTCAGCACTGATTTAAGCTGCCATTCTAAGGAACATAAGAAAAAGCTACAGTTTTTTTAAATTTTTAGTCAATACCCACAACTTTCTCCTCAAAGTACAGTCATTTAGAATTAGAAAAATGGCTCTTCTGTCTGTTAAGAATTTTAAGATCTGAGAGTAGGAAAAGAAGGTAACTTTTCTCATTATAATGGTAAATAAGTGCAGATGCTCACAAAACATCTAAGAATATGAAATGTAATATTCAGTTCAAGCACTTCATATAGTTATGGCTACATATTGCCTAGGTCCCACTGCATAATCAAAGGAACTCTGTCTTCCGACTACCCTGAAGCAGTGATTTGCATTAGTGTCCTTATTTTTGGATCTATATGAAGCCAGTTCTTCCTGAAATCCGTGGCAGTAAAAACATAGGCCATGAAGGAGGTAGTTGAACAAGTATGTAGGCTAGTTCTTGGTTTGCAGCAGATATGACTCCTCCAGGAGGTAACATAACACTTATTCAAAGGCTGTGTGTCGTTGTATTTTATAAACTGAGCAAAACAATTCATTGTACATAACTTTAATGGCAAGTCACAAGAGATATGGCAGAGATTATTCAGAACCTCTTCTAAAATTAATAAAACAATAGTCTGAGAGAAATGGTGTAGGTGGACCTTCTGTATTTGTGTTCCTTTCATTGGTTAATAAAGAAACTGCTTTGGACCTGGTGATAAGGCAGAACTTAGGTGGGCAGAGAAGACAGAACTGAATTCTGGGAGGAAGAAAACAGAGAGAGAGAGAGCCGCCATGGAGATGCCCGGTCAGACATGCTAAATCTTTCCTGGTAAGCCATGACCTCGTGGTGAACACAGATTAATAGAAATGGGTTAAATCAAGATGTGAAAGTTTGCCAATAGGAGGCTAGAGCTAATGAACAAGCAGTGTTTTAATTAATACAGTTTCTGTGTGGTTATTTTGGGTGTAAGCTAGCCAGACAGTCGGGATGACAAGCACCCCACTCCTCCTGTTACAGAGAAATAAAATAAACAGCAACTAAATGTTTAGCTTTGTGGTATTATGTACTTCTTTGTTTAAAAAGAATTCTGCTTTTTTATTGATTTTTATTGATCTCTACATTTTTCTCTGCTCCCCTCCCTGCTTATCCCCTCCCCTTCAACCCTCTCCCAAGGTCCCCATGCTCCCAATTTACTCAGGAGATCCTGTCTTTTTCTACTTCCCACATAGATTAGAGTCCTCGTTGCTATCTAGGTTCTCTGGGATTGTGATTTGTGGGCTGGTTTTCTTTGCTTTATGTTTAAAAACCACTTATGAGTGAGTACATGTTATAACTGTCTTTCTGGGTCTGGGTTACCTCACTCAAAATGATGTTTTCTAGCTCCATCCATTTGTCTGCAAACTTCAAGATGTCATTTTTTTCTGCTGTGTAGTACTCCATTGTGTAAATGTACCACATTTTCCTTATCCATTCTTTGGTCAAGGGGCATTTAGGTTGTTTCCAGGTTCTGGCTATGACAAACAAAGCTGCTATGAACATAGTTGAGCACATGTCTTTGTGGCACAATTGAGCATCCTTTGGATATATACCCAAAAGTGGTATTACTGAGTCTTGAGAAAGGTTGTTTCCTAATTTTCTGAGAAATCACCACACTGACATTTAAAGGGGCTGTACCAGCTTGCATTCCCACCAGCAATGCAGAAGTGTTCCCTTTTCCCCACAGCCTCTCCAGCATGAGTTGTCATCAGTGTTTTTTATCTTGGCCATTCTTACAGGTGTAAGATGGAATCTCAGAGTTGTTTTTAATTTGCATTCCTCTGATGACTAGGGATGTTGAGCATTTCCTTAAGTGTTTTTCAGAATTCTGCTTCTTAACCTTTGATATAATTAGCTTGTGAAAGGGTCCACCTGAATGCTCAACTTCTGTGTGAGCAGAGTCTTACCATGTGGTCCAGGCTGGCCTTAAAGCCACAGCAGTCCTGCTTCATCTCCCTGAGCTTGGGACTATGGGTATATGACACCGTGCTCAGCGATTCTTTTACAATATACTTATTGTTATTGATGGAAAAGTGACCTGTGGAAAAATAAATACTGAACTGGGTGTGGGAACTCACACAGCTAATCTCACTTAGGAGGCTTAAGTAGGGGGGGATCGCTGAGTCTGTTTGAAACCAGTCTAGGCTACACATTAAGTTCTAGGGCAACGTGGGTACAGACTGAGTGAGACCTTGTCTCAAAAACCAAAATCAGGCCGGGTGATAGTGGAGCACGCCTTTAATCCCAGCACTGGGAAGATATAGATACAGGCGGATCTCTGTGAGTTCAAGGCCAGTCTGGATAAACAAAGTGAGTTCCAGGATAGACTCCAAAGCTACAGAGAAACCCTGTCTCAAGAAGCAAGAAAAAAAAAAAAAAACCCCAATAAACAAACAAAAAAATAAAAAAACCACCAAAATCAGAAACAAAATAACAGAAAGAAGTTACTGACCCTGCCACCTGGGGATCTATCTATATACCTCCTACCCATGTTTTATTGATTAGGCATATCAAGTGGTCATGTCTATCTACAAGTGGGCAGGCAATCACACTTCGTTTATAAATGAGGGGCAGCTATAACATATGTGAGACATCCTAATACTGCTACACCTTCTGATGTCTTTCTGATTATAGAGAAAAGGTCTTTGTGGAAGAAATGAAAGAAACCCTCTGCTTTTTAACCATAGGAACAGCTAATGTTCCAGATGGTAGCTCTGAAGACCAAAAGCCTGGCTCCCAGAACTCTGATAGTCGCTGGGGGTGAGAAAAACTTCTTTTCTTAAACTATGCAACTTTTAGCTGCTTGCTTCTTGGGTATCCAAACTGCTGCCAGGGAAGCTCAGCCACAGTGGTCAGCCAGCGCTGTGCCTTGTGCCCAAAGTCACTTCACTAACTCATGTGAGTTAACAGGTTCTAGTGACTTGGTATAGAGTTCCACAATGCTGGCTTAAGGAATACTGCATAACGCCTTTCTGGTTAAAGATTTGCTTTTAATTGTGCTTTTCAGGATAATGAAGTATGCTTGCAAAAATACTGTGTTGGGTTAGTAAGATGGCTGGGTGCATGAGAGTATTTCTGACTTTCTATACAGTGTTGAGCAAATTGATGATCCAAGTTTGGTACCTGGAATGCACGGTAGTAAACAGGAAGTAGACAATTGACCCCTAAAAGTTGTTCTCTGGTTTCTATGCCTTCACTTACAAAAATAACAACATATACTGGGTTAAGGCAGAAAATTTCAAAACATACTAATACATAATTTTCCCTCTATGCTCCTGCTAAATATACTTTGAGGGGCCTCAAGACTATTTACCTTTAACTGTGTGCAAGTTCTAGCTGTTCATTTGAAGAAAACAGTCTTGCTTTAAGTTTTAATGCCACTTTTAAAATACCTACTCATTTATGTAAAATGCTAAAGTGTCATTACACCATAGCAAATATTAACAAAAATGTTCACAAAGTGGTCATTTTGAGTCTTTATTTCTAGTTCCATTTTGATTTATGCATAATTATCATCAAATAACATGAAATTAAATTAGAATGTTCTGCTTCATAGCCTAGCATCTTTTTGGGGAAAACTCTGTGATAAAATAACTTTCTGACATCGTATCATATTGCTATAAAAATAGAACATCAAAATATTGTCCATGTCAACTTACTCATTCAGTAGCTAAGAATAAATTTAAAGAAAAAGAAGCTGTATTTCAATGCTCACTTCTCAGGAATCGACTTGGCATCTTTCATTACTGAAATACCTAATCAAATTGGAAATCTGAGATTTTATAACACTTGGAAATGTGTTCACTGAATCTACTGCCATCTATTTAATGTTCTTGTCATCAATGTGGCTCTGCTTGTCTTGTTTCAGGTTGAATTGCTGAGTCCCTGGTTAACTGATGTGTGAAACCTGGCTTTCTAACCAGGTCTCAAATCTAGAGTCTGAGGAGCTACAATCTGAGTAGTTGAAAAAAATACAAATCTTTTTTAAGTTTTCTTTTTTAAAATTAATGAATTGATTGATTGATTAATTGATGCATGCTTTGATTGCATGCATGCATACCAGAAAAGGGCATCAGATTCCATTATACATGGCTGTGATCCACTATATGGTTACTGGGAATTGAACTAAGGACCTCTGGAAAAGCAGCCAGTGCTCTTAACTGCTGAGACGGTTCTCCAGCCCAAGTATACAATTCTTAACATTCTTTATTCTTGTATTTAGTTGTTTTCTGAGTTTAATTTTTCCAATGTTTACAGGAACTTTTAAAATGACATTAGAGGGGGAGGGGGAGGGAAATGGGAGGCAGTGGCGGGGAAGAATCAGAAATCTTTAATAAATAAATACAAATTTTAAAAAAAAAGTAAAAAAAATGACATTAGATTATTTCTTGGACATGTGATAGCTACCAAGACTAAAAACCTGAGTTCCATCCCCAGAACCCACATGTTAGGAAAATTGGAGAGAAACAACTCCCTCAAGCTTCCCTCTGACCTCCACATGTTGAAATAAGAGCGGCAGGGCTGCGTCCTCAGCACCCCGGCCGCCTGCTAGCTTATGCCCGAAATAACAACACACAAACTGTATTCATTTAAACACCGCTTGGCCCATTTCTATCTATCCTTTTCTTGGCTAACTCTCGCACCTGGACTAGCCCATTTCTAATAATTGTTTGTAGCACCCCAAGGTGCGCTTACCGGGAAGATTCTAGCCTACATCCATCCTGGATCGGAGCTGCCTGGGAGAGCGGAGCCTGGCGTCTCTGCTCCAGAGAGCAGAGCTGTCGATTCTCTCCGGGAGCAGAGCAGAGTCTGACCTCGCTTCCTCTTCCTCCCAGCATCCTATTCTGTTTACTCCACCCACCTATGTTCTAACCAATAAAATGGGCCAAGCCAGTTTCTTTATTAGCCAATGACCTTCCTCCATCATTTCCCCTTTTTTGGTTTAAACAAAAAAAAAGGAAGGCTTTAACTTAACATAGCAAAATTACATATAAGAAAACAGTTATCAAGTAAAAATTACAATAATCTATATCATAACTAAGGAAAACTATAACTATAGCTAACTATTCTTAACTCCATCAAAGAGTCCAGAAAGATACAATATTACCTAAGCAAACAAGAAAAAAGCAACTTTCAAACTCTAGAAATGACAGAGACATCTCGCTGCCTGGACAGTCACCCAAAGTTCCTCTGTACCGTTGGGGCATCCATCTTCGGCCTACAGGCCCATAGTTTCCAGCAGACATTTCCACAAAAGCAGGAAATTCCAAAGGCAGTCACTATCTGCTTGTCCTGAAGAATGTCTTGCAGACTCTTTCATGAATCAGGAACCCCAAAAGGTCATCTCACCTTTAGGCAAGTTCAGCAGTCCTCTCTCTGCGGGTTCTCTGTGTCCAGTTTATGCAATAATCCAGGCAAGAGCAGTTTCTTGCCCAAATGGCTATCAAACTCCATAAGGATCCTCTTCGATGCCCATCTTCCTCTTGAAGTAGATTGATGCTGCCAGGAGCAGAGTGTCTCATTGTCATGAAAAGTCCTAAGTTATTAAAATATTTTAAATGCCATATTCTATAATCTTTGAAAAATATGAAGAATGCCTATCTAAAATATATCTATGTACATCTAGAAAATCTTAACTAACATAACTACAAACTTGACTATTATGATTATCCTACAGCCACAGTCCCCACCTTTTGACTTTTTATTTTCAGAGTCTCACTGGGCTCCTCAGATTTACTTTGAACTGGCAATCCTCATACCTCTGTTACCAGACTCTGGCACTCGCCTAGCTTAACTCTTCAGATTCTGTGTATTTAAAATATCCTTTTTGGGCCAGAGAGATGGCTCAGAAAATAAAAGTAATTGTGGCCAAGGCTGAAAACCTGAGTTCGACCCTCAAGAGCCACACCATGGAGGGAAAGAACGAACCCCCGAAAATTGTTCTCTGCCCTCCACACACCTCAACTTTGACACACAAGTGCCCCCCCCACATAATAAATACACTTTTAAAAACTATTTTTCAGTCCTCTACTTTCTGTAGATAGTTGTTTGTAGAGCTTAGCTTTTGTAATTTTCATATAGAAACAAAGCTTTATGCATTGTTTGTAATAGAGTTAAAGTTTACAGGCTTGAACATTATTTTCGTTGTTATAAAATTTAAACACTGAAATGTCCTGGCTCACAAAACTGTGAATTCCAGGGCATATTATGTATTTGGGACTCATTACAAGTTCCGTTTTTTAGTGTTTCTCCTTGATTCTGACATGATTTGGGTACTACGTGTCACAGAACCACGGGGATATAAAAAAACTTAGTCTTCTGTCACAGTCGAGTTACAGACATGAATTTATTTCACTAAGAATCTTCTAGAAGTTAATCTTTACATAGCATAACCCTTCTTATAAACAGTATTTTCATTTAGAAGTTACATGATTGCAGTATCTTGGGGGCAACCCATTAAGACCGTTCCCTGAAACGGTTTTAGTAAGTCAGTTTTCCAAAACTCTTGTCCAAGAGGCGAATTCTCAAAAGTAAAACATGGAGGCGTTGCTTCGCCTCTGGAGGACGAAAAGTGTGAGTCTGGGGCGTGGGAAGCTGAAGTCAGGCCCACCGTGAACACCGAGGGGCTGGAGACGCTGCGCGTCAGGAGCGGTCTTCGCTCGCGCGTGCTTCCTCACCAGATTCCTTCGCCCCGCCCGCTCACGACTTTAAAGATGATTTCCCGCTGGGCAGCCGCCCGAGAAACTGAGGACAACCGAGTTCCACCTGCGGAAAATCCTGCAAACACAGAGGAAAGCGCGGTCCCACACCACAGGAGCCCGCCCCGCGCCGCCCCGCCCCGCTCCGCCCCGCGAGGCTCCTTGCTGCGTCACTTCCTGTCCACAGCCATCCGCTTCCGGGTCAGACTGAGCCGCCTGCTCTTCCAGACTGCTGGAGGTGCCGCGCTGTCGGCGTTGCCTGCCCCTGGAGCGCCCGAGCCGCGGTACCGCCGGGCGAAGCGCTGCGCTGTGCCGGGCCGGCCCCAAGGAGGAGACCCAGGTCCGGGCCGCCGCGGGGTCGCGCCTCGGGCCTCCGCTGCGGTCCCTGGCAGGCGGGAGCCGGAGCTGCGGCGGAGCGCGACCCCCCTCCCCGGCCGCCCTGTCCACCTTGCCGGGGAAGGCGGAAGATGCCAGTGAAGAAGAAAAGAAAAGCCCCCGGAGTGGCAGCGGCGGTCGCGGAAGACGCAGGCCTCAAAAAGTGTAAAATCTCCAGGTACCGCGTGCCCCACCCCGCAGGATCTCCTTCCTCCGGTGCGGGACGGGCGGCCGGGCGCCTGCTGTGGCGAGGGGGCGAGCCCTCTCCTCGGCGGGACGGTGGGTCGGAGCCCCGAGTCTCCGCTCCGCGCGGGACCAAACCTCGTGTTGGCCTGTGCGTGTGCTCTGGCGTACTTGGATGAGCTGTGGGGTTTGTCCCACATTGTTGTCTGCGTGCCCAGAGGGTAGGAAACAGACAACGTCAGCCGTGCTCTTTCCCCCTGCCTTCTACCTTCCTCCTGTCCACCAAACGCGGAGTGCAGAGCTGCTGAGATTCACAGCGTCCCTGAGGTTCACTGTATCAAGAAGAATTGGCTTGGCCCACACATTGTTAATGTCAGAGTGTGAAGAAAAGAGCGGAGCATGAAGAATTTTGACAGCTGCCTTGGGAATGGTTGAAAGGAAGCCTGCGCTATAATTGGTCTGCTGAGTTAGCATTTCAATTGGCCTAACCTGGACCACCTCAGCAGGAGGAGGCCTTTGAAATCCCTAGAGCCTCAGCTTTGGAAGGCAGCATGCCTCCACCCCACCCGTACACCCCTTACACAGGGTTGGAAAGGCTTGGCGAGCTTTTTCTTTTTTAGCCTTCAGACGCAGTTAGCTGTCAGTCGGTTTTAGTCATTTGTAAGCTACTGTGCTCTGTGTTCTCTTAGGGAAAAAGAAAACAAAGCAGAACTGTATTCAGAGCCTTTGCTCCCCTTGTGGCATGGCAGAAGCATTCCTGCTGCGGAAAGTCATTGCAGTTCAGCTCCCAACTTATTCTTTGGACTGTCTTTGTGTTAATGGTTGCCACTTAAAATGACAACTTAAAATGACAACATTTAAACGAGAGCCAGCACTAAATAAAACAAATACCTCTTTAAGGAGAGATGCAGTGAGAAACACACTGCTTAAAATAGGAGAAAGGTGGCTTGTTTAATCCGCATGTTTTGTAGTCATTTGTTTTGTTTTTTGTTTTTTTCTTGGTGTGTTTTAGCGAAAGAACCTAAGTAATAGTTGGGTGATTAATGTGATACACAGTTTTCTTTGATAGTTATCATTCTGCTTGACCTTTATTAGCTGCTTTTGGGAATCAAACCTAACATATTTAAGCCAGTTAAAACAGCTGAAGGGCAATGTCATTAGATTTGAGGTGTTTCAGCCTATAAATCAGTAGTAGAATCTCAGAATTTTTGGCATTCAATCAGGTATATAGCTTAGTGGTGGAAAGCAAACTCAGCAGTGTGAGTAAAGCCCTCAGTACAGGGACAGAAAGAGAGATATTTATACTTTCTTTCTAGTCTTGGGCTGAGACTTAGCTGCACTTCTTTATAATCTTGAAATAGGGAAATAATTTTAATTACTGCTCTTGGAATTTGGTAGCAAGCAAAGTAGCATTGGGGTTTTCATTGATCAGCGACTCTTATGCATAGAATACAGGTCCATATTGCTAATGCCTAACTTCTTCCCCCATGATGTTAACTTAAAAACTACTTTGTTTTATTTGCATGGAAGCAATTGTTGAACTTAGTTTTTTCACTAACATTTGAGTCTTAGTAGGTTCTAGACATCTTTGTGTTTTCTAAGCTATTGCAGATCCCAGCCTCCTGCTAGAATAATCAGTGGAGAGGAAGATTTTTCAAGAAAGAAGTGCCTGGCTTGGTTTTATGAGTATGCAGGTAATGAAATCCATGGATCAAGATACCAGTCATATGCATTTAAAATCTGTGTTTTATTCTTTAAACATTATTTAGTGCAGGCCTGTTATTAGATTTTAGTACTGTGTGCTGGGATTAGGGTCAAGCCTAAAGGGTTATAAATTGAAGAATTTGATGCCGTTCCAAGACTAGTATTTCTTTACATCTGTATTCTGTAAGAACTTATTTGCTGTTTGTGTATAAATAGAAACAATCACATTGAATGCATTCATAAAATGTTCAGGGAAAGAAGTAGGCAAAACATTTTAATTTGTTTGATTTTTGAGACAGAGTTTCCTGTAACCCTGACTATCTGGAACTGACTCAGTTGTCCAGGCTGCCTTCAAACTCAGCGATCCCCTTGCTGTGTTGGGGTGAAAGGCATGCACCACCACACCATCTTCCAAAAGCATTTCTATTCGCTTTCTAGGAAACGGTATGCGAAATATTTCTCTGTTCACCATTCTCTATTTTTTCTGAAGCTTTTGGGGTGGTGTGACAAATAATTTAAACGTCTGAAATAATGTATAACACATTTACTCTTTAATTTTAATTTTACAGCAAATACAATAAGAAAACAGAATGATAGTACTACAATATGTTAAGGAGTAGATCGTGAAGATACATGATAATTGACAAGATACAAAACCCAACCTTGAGAGCATCAGGAGAACCTATTTGGAGGAGCAGACTAACCTGACCTGGGTTTGACAAGTGGTTGATGGGAAGATCTAGGTCCACAGTGAGGCAAACCCATGAACAAGAATACTTGCTTCCCTTGCTGGGTGTGGTAGCACAAGCCTTTTATCTCAGCACTCAAAGGCAGGTGGATCTCTGTGAGTTGGAGGCCAGCCTGGTCTACAAAGAGAGTTCCAGGATAGCCAAGGCTATTACACAGAAAAACCCTGTTTTGGAAACAAAGAAACAAACAAAAAACTTGTTTCCTACTTGTTGTTAATTTCTTCAGAGCATATATGACACTTTTTCCCTGATATTAATGTTACTTTTTCTCGTTCCTGTCTGTTAGCTACTTTTCTGCTTTTATTTCTTTTTCTGTCATTATTCTCAAAAGTATTTGCTTAAAGTCAAGATGCTTACTAGTTATTGCCTTCTATTTGTACTAGCCATGTTAAAGTATAGCTGCTTGATTTACAGAGTTACTGTATGGAAAGCTAGACTAGTCTGAAAAGGGGGCAGCATCTTTGCTATTGGGATCAGCAAAGTGATCCTAATTGTATAATTTAAAATTATTTGATAGCAGGATAGAATCTTTCTAGATCAGGGGAAATAAATGCTATTACTGGTATCCCAAGACAACCACTAACCCAATTTAAATGTAGAGAATTCATTTTTTTTTTAACTGACCTCTATTTAAAATGTTGACCCATTATTTAAAATGCCAGTTTCACATATACATTATATAGAATTAAAAGGTTCTCTTCGTCTTACTTCACTTACAAGGTTACTAGATACCATAAAGATTAATTAGTGTGTATGTATCTTTTTTCTTTTTGAATGCCAGCTTTTAGCTCTTATTGAAACTTAACCTCGGTATTCTAAGATTTTAATCAAGTATTTGTTTCCTACTCTGACATATTTATTAGCCAACATATAATTGCTATCATTGTTCTAGGGATTGTGATAAATATATTGTTTTCCTTATAACCATCTGTCAAGTTAGCGATTTTATCCTTATTTTATAAATGAAAACTGAGGCTTAGATTGACTTACTTGCCAATGATGATTCAGTCCAAGAACCAGGATTCAAACTATAGTTGACTGACCCTCAAGACGAAGTTATACAAATGGCAACTAATTTTTACTTCTAGTGAAAAAAAGTTAATAAAGTATACTTGAGGTATCTTCTGTCATTCCACAAGTCATCCGATGAATATTTATTCAACATTTTCTGTGAGTTCAACACTGTGATAGTACTTGTGTACTTGTGATATAATAATGAAAAAATCAGGACGTGATCTCTGCCATCAAATGTAGCTTCTCATGAGGAAGACCATAGTAAACAGTAAGTTTATAGGCATGGAAATTACAACTTGTGAAGACTCATACAAGTATTATGTGGAAGTACTAGAATTTCAGATAGTGTCCACAGAAACTATTTTGGCAGATCAGTCATTTGCTGGTGAACAGTACCTGTTCTTTCTTACCAAATGGGGATATCCTTCATGGTAGAGACAAAAGCTAGGCCCACTCAAGAGTGGATGACATGCAGAGTCTTAGCACAGTACCTGATACATGTCAGAACTCAGTATGTTAGGTAGTATTACTGCTAACAGCTTTAGACTATCTCGAGATCTTTTTACTTAGCTATTTGTTGAATTCATGGATATGCCATTTAGTAAATAGAAAGCTGATTGTGGGGAAAAAAGAGCATTTTTAATCTGTCACAAAGAATTAAAAAATAAGATAGAATTATATAGTTTAAATGCAATATACAGTGAGCTAAATCATTTGCATGACTGCTTGAATTGAGTGAAAATCAAAGAACCTGAAAGAATTAATTGAATTCACTTACACACATCTTACCCAGTTGTAGTTTTATTAGAAGGCTATAGTTTAAAAGTATTATTGACATTCAGTCAGGCGGTGAACTTTGGTATAGGCTTTGCTTTACACTTAGGTCTGTTATTTCCATTGCTTTGGGAAGTCACATAATACTTAACACATACAGATCTTGTCTACCTAAGATCATATGTATGTTTCATATAGAAACTACTTTGATTTCTAATTGTGTGTTAACATAACCTTTTTTTTAAGATTTATTTATTTATTATGTATACTTTGTTCTGCCTGCATGTTATGCCTACAAGCCAGAAGAGGGCACCATATCTCTTTATGGATGGTTGTGAGCCACCATGTGGTTGCTGGGAATTGAACTCAGGACCTCTGGAAGAGCAAGCAGTGCTCTTACTTGCTGAGCCATCCATCTCTCTAACCCACCATAACCTTATTGATCACATAGTAGAAGGCTATATTTTTTTATTAAGAAAAATCATAAGGCACTGGCTTTTGTGTTGTATCTGTAACCTAATTATAGTACTATGAAACGTACCTTCTAAAATTCATTCAGTCTTTGGCTTATGTTTGAAGGGTTTTGTTTTGATCCAGGGTCCTATGTAGCCTAGACTAGCCTTGAACACTTAATCTTCATGCTTCTACTTTCTAAGTGCTGGGATTATAAACTCTTCACCTTGACTAGCTAAAGCTGGAGTATTTTCTGGTTGTTGAAGAAAGGAAAATTAAAATGTACAAGGAGGACACAGTCTCAAGAACAAACCTGCATGAGCTCTCTCATTTTCAGAATCTAGAAAATATGTATATTTGTAAACAAATGTACATGTAGAGATAGAGACATGTAGAAAAGAGTGAGAAAGGTTGAACTTAGGAGATGAGGAAGAATGAGTTACTGATAGAGGATATAAACAAAGCTAATTGTTTTTCTAGTTCTAACTCATGTCATGGATTTTCATTTTATCCATGCATAAAAATCCATCCACTCAATATTGAAAGTATAAAATCCAGTGTGCGTCTTTCAGTGGCTTTCCAACCAAGTTCATTCAGGTGTGTAGACGTCAGTGGGCTCATGCTAGTGTCTGGTGTTTTTATTTACAAGGGTCTTTGTTATGTATATAATAAGGAAAATAAACGCTTTTGGATAATATAACATTGATTCAAGACATTTTTGTAGTGAAAATTTGTCATATTTCAAATCATAACATCTGTTTTAGGTCATTTCTAGGCGCAGAAGAATTAGCAGTGATACAGTTCCTCTATTTTGGGAATCTTATAATAAAAAAATTCAAGAATTGCATTGATTTTTTTAAGTACTCTAGTTTAAAATGAGAAACAAGAAAGATAATTCAAACTCCATATGCTTTATAGCCTTACATTGTCAAAAATTTTATTCAGAATAAATTCTTAGATTTTTTTTTTTAATGAGTGAGACCATGTTGGCTTGGTTTGTTCTTTTTGTGAACTACTGATTTATACTAGTGGAATTTTTCTTTACTACTCCTTTAAATAATGTCCTTAACTCACTGGGCCTGATAGCTCACACCTTTAATCCCATCATTCAAAGGGAGAAGCAGGTGAATTTCTGTGAATGTCAGACCAGCCTGGGCTACACAGTGAGACCTAAAATAAGAGAAGGAAAAAAGTCCTTAATTCATATTGTACTATATTTAAGGAATAAAATTTCTAAGTATGCTTTTCAGAGCTATGGTAAAATTTAAATTCACTTATTTATATAAAAAGTATTAAGATATTTTTACAGATGTCTTTAGTGTAATAGTTTAAGTCATGTACATAATAAAGTAATAAAGTGTATGAATTATTTTTGTCTTTGAAGGTCCTGATGAAGTTGTAGGGCCAGAAGGAATGGAAAAATTTTGTGAAGACATTGGTGTTGAACCTGAAAATGTATGTTTTATTTCTAAGTAAAATGAAATATAAATGGATTATAATGTTTTCATAAATTTCTAAAAATTGAAGCTTTAATATATGGAAGATATTTTTTCTTCATGATTACTACTGTAAATTCACACTAGGGTTTTTTAAATCACGCTAAATTGAGTGAGAGTGAGCATTCCTGCCTCAATACTGGCACTTTTCAGCTGCTTGGTAGTTGACAATCAGAAGCTGTAGTGTCTTGTAGTGGACGACTGGAAATGTTTGTTTAAGAATGTTCTCCATGAGGAGTGCGGCCATGATCATCTCTGACTTCTCCCTGTCCTTTATGTTCTCTTCTTTACAGATTATTATGTTAGTTTTAGCGTGGAAGTTGGAGGCTGAAAGCATGGGATTTTTTACCAAGGAAGAATGGTTAAAGGGAATGACCTCATTACAGTAAGAATATTTTCTGAAAAGCAAATTTGGTGGCCTATTTAAAGATCTCTTTGATATTTTGTGCTTCATCTTTTTCAGGAATAAGATTTTGCTTTAAAGTAGTCAAATTGGTTTGATTTGTAAAAATCAGGTTAGGGACTAGCAAAATTATATTGTTCTGACCCATGAGTAAGTTTCATACACTTAAGAAAACACTCAGGCTAATTGAGACATGTTGAGTTTATTAGAAACAGTCAGTGAGTTAGGTGCTCATAGGGTTTAACAAAAGTTTTCCCCGCTCTATACACACTCCACTCTAAGAATTTCATCACTGGACAATCCTAAACCCTAGGGCCTCCTCACTCCCTTTTGTATAAGTTTAGAAAGTCACACGGTGCTTTGGTGCACTGCTTCCTCCTGTTACCTCTCACAGGATCAAAGTAGAAATGGTTTTTGGCTCTTGTGTAGTCTTGAGACATTTGTAGTTATGTATGTTCGGATGGAGATGTCATGCTGAAATAGTTTCATAAGTTTCAGAATTACTTCATTATTCAGATAACTCATTCTGCCTTTCTAGAGTAGAATGTTTAATTTCAATTCAATTAGGGATTTTGCGGTAATTTTCTATTATATCTTAATCATAATGTTCCATCAGAATGTTATTCAACATTCTAAAATATTTTCATATTTTAAAGTGTTACTTTATTGTTTATTTAAAGTGTTACTTTATTGTTTTCCATCACTTGGGATTGAACCTCGGACTTTATACATGCTAACCCAGTGCTCTACCACAGAGCCATATCCCTAACTACACTTAAAATTTCCAGGCAGACGCTGTGTTATTAGGCCTAGAGTTTTCTTTGTTGTCTATGGTTTTCTTAGTCTATGTAAACTATTCTTAATTCTTATTTAGCTGTCCCTCAGTTCTTTTTTTTTCCCTCAAGACAGGGTTTCTCTGTAGCTTTGGAGTCTCTCCTGGAACTAGCTCTTATAGTCCAGGTTGCAGGTTGGCCTTGAACTCACAAAGGTCTGCCTGTCTCTGCCTCCCTAGTGCTGGGATTAAAGGCCCTAGTGCTGGAATTAAAGGCGTGCACCACCTCCACCTGGCTTGTTCCTTTTTTTTTTTTCCACCTGGCTTGTTCTTAAGAAAGGATGTCTCTTTGCTTACAAGGCAGTCACAATTATGGATTTGAATTTTCGATATCTTGTTATCTTCTGTTTTTAACTATTTTTTAAAATGTCTTTTTCATGTGTGTTTTAAACATAACGTTAACATATGTGTGTGTCAGTGTGTGTCCATGGACATGTGTACTCAGGAATATGTTCTATCTTTGTGTAACTGTAATAGATTTGTTGGAAAGAGAAGGGTAGGTGGGAGTGTGACTGTTCAGTATATACTATGTAGGAAGATAGATACATAGAACATAGATATATACACACACATATTCATTCCTTGGGTAAAAACCTCTTTTCAGTTGCTGGATGAAGATTCTATGGTGATATATAAGTTATTTATCAGTCTGACTACAGGGCAAGTCAAGATCGAGCTCCCTCTTGTCTGTTGCTTAGGGTCTTAGCTGGGGTCATCCTTGTGGATTCCTGGAATTTTATCTAGAGCCAGGTTTCTTACTAGCCCCATAAGGGCTCCCTCAATCAAGATATCTTTCCTCGCTCTCATCTCTGTCCTTCCTCCATCTTGACTATCTCATTCCCTCAAGTAACCACACAGAAACTATATTAATTTAAAACACTGCTTGACCCATTAGCCCTAGCTTCTTACTGGCTAACTCTTATATTAATTTAACCTATTTCTATTAATCTGTATATCACCACGTGGCAGTGGCTTACCGGCAAAGATTTGGCATATCTGACTCCGGTGGCTCCATGGTGTCTCTCTGACTCCGCCCTTCTTTCTCCCAGTCCAGTCCTCTCTGCCTACCTAAGTTCTGCCCTATCAACAGGCCAAGGCAATTTCTTTATTCATTAATGGTAATTACAGCACACAGAGGGGACTCCCACATCATATTTCTTGTGAGGAGATGATATTGTCTTAGAATTTTACTTAAGATTTTCGTGGTCTTCAGATCAAGATAATTGTCAATTGAATTGTGTCAACTTACTTTTGAATTCATAGGAATCTTGAGTAGAATGCCACTAAAGAACAATCCGGTAGTTACAACATATATGCAGGTCAAGAATATTGAACTGAAATAATCACAATCAATTATCTATATTGTGTAATGATTCTTGGATACTTTTTGTTCCAAACATTTGGCTTGATACTGTCCTTTTAGATGTTCTATAGAAGACTTTCCATTTAAATGAAATAATTTATCAAGCACAGACTTAAAAATAGTTGAATGTAGGCTTTAATATTTCTTGGAGTTTGAAAAAAGTAATCTGATTTTTAGAATCATAAGGGTGAGTTTAAAATTTCAGCTATGTGAAATAATAGTATTACATTATTTGATACTTTATCTAACATGAGGGAATCTAAAGATATTGGAAAACAATCAGATTTTGAGCTCAGGAATCACACAAGAGTTTTGCAGTTGTGTTTAAGTGAGTATTCATGGTGTTTTAGGGTCTTGAAAATTGATGGAAGCTGAGCCTTGTACTTTTTAAGATGTACTATACTTTACCCACACAGTTTCTCATATTGTTGGGATGTGGGTGGCCTTTTATTTTTTTCTCAATCTAAAGATCATAGTTCTAAGGATACTTTTAAATTTTTCTTTTAGCATGTTAAACTGGGTGGAGAACTTTTCCCACATCTGCTAGCTAAAAGTTTGATGTTGACATACAGGTTAGATATCACTGGTGGAGAAAACTGATTACAAACTTTCAAAGGGATTGTACTTGATCATTATAATGAAGAGCATTATGGTGGTAACCATAAAGGTAACGGTGGTAATGATGGTGACAGTAACAATTGTAGCAGTATGCTGGTAAATTTCCTTCCAGAAAAGGCCACATTACACATTTTTCTGGGCTTCATTTTGAGACTTGGACTTTGAAGATTAAAAGGGAAAGGGCTTATTTGACTTATCTTTTGTTGTTGTTGTTTCTGTTTTTCAAGACAGGGTTTCTCTGTATAAAAGCCCTGGCCATCCTGGAACTTGCTTGGTATACTAGGCTGGCCTTGAGTTCACATAGATCTGCCTGCCTCTGCCTCTTAAATGCTGGGATTACTGGTGTGTGTGCCACTGTGCCCTGCTGATTTAAGCTTAAGAAAGGGAGGAATGGGGATCATTTTCTTGTTTTTTGTAGGCTGAGCATGGTGTAGATGCAGTGATGTGTTAAGTGTGGTGCGTGACTCCCATTCATTTGCAGTTGAGGCCAACTACTGGCTGCCATTAACATTCTTCTTTGCTCAAATGCCTTCCTCCGCATTCCAATACCTTGAGACATAGACAGTATTTATCTAGTTGGTAAATGTATTGTAGAGAAGGTCTGCTGTATGTTACGTGCCACAGCATACTCACTGGGATTTACACATGAGGAAGAGAGCCTCACTTAGATCTGCTGCATGAATGAACATTCCTCTTGTTTAAAAGACTTTCTTGCAGTCTATTTTGCCCAAATCCTTCTGTTGAATTGAAGCCCATTGTGTATTCATTCAAAACATTATGTTCTCTGGGAATCTTACATTGTGCCATGAACTCAAAACTTTATAAGATTTTACTTTGATGTTACTTGAAACATAATCTCTTGCTATTCATGATGGACTGTTAAACTGAATATAAAGTTCTGAGATGACTGACATTCTGAACTACTGAGTTTATGTGGGAATTGTCATATTGATAATTGCTGGATATAGTTACTGCTTTTGCTAATTCTTTGTATACGCTTATAATATTGATAACAAATATGGAGCTTTTGGCTTCATTCTCATCTTAATAAAGATAAATAGGGTCTGGAAAAGTGAATCAGCAGTTAAGAGCTGGCTGTTCTTTCAGAAGACCTGGATTCAGCTGTCAATACCCACATGGTGGTTCACAACAGTCTATAACTCTGACCTCTACAAAAACTTGGCACACATGTGCACAGGCCTACTGGAACATGAAACACCCAAATACATAAAAATGTATAAGGGGAAACCCATTTGGTGATTTTAATTTCTTCCTCTGCTCGAGATCTTCATTAGACCATTATGGATGCTAGGACTTGTTTGGACATAACTGTATAGTGTGGGTGAGGTGAGTGAATTGACTTCTATGTGCCTCAGAAATGTGCACAGTTCAAGAATTTAACATACATATTCTCATGTGATAGTACTATTCTCTGAAATTGTTCTTGTTTGAAAGTTAAGAAACTGGGGCTTGGGAGATGGTTGGGATATAAAGGACTTGCAATACAAGCATGAACAGAGCTTGTGTTCCAGTGCCCAGATCAAAAGCATGGGCAGGAATCATAATGTAACCCACATAACTGGGGTAGCAGAAACAGGGCATCCCTGAAGTAAGCTGCTAGCTAGACTAGCCAAATCAGTGAGCTCTGGGTTAGTGAGAGACAGCCTTGCCTCAGTAAATAAGGTGGAGAGTGGTCAGAGAAGACATTGGACATTGCCTTCCACCTATACTCACATGTGCACA